ATGCCATTAGACTCTGCACTTAGATGTGTGGCCCAAAGAGGACAGCTGACCTGCGCATAAAAACAAATGAGTTTTCAAAAGAACTCCTTCGACTGCATGAGTATTGGAAGAAGCAATTGCCTTCAAACACAAGAAAGCATTGAGAATGAACCTAGGATCAGCGAGACTACCTACGTAGCAAGAAGGTTGAGATCCATCCCCAATTTCAAAGCTCTCTCGCTAGTGGGCCCACCCCTATCCATCTCAAAGCACTAGGTGGGGGTGTCCCTGTAACGAACGCTCCGCGCAGTCGGCAAGTGCGTGAGCAAAGCTGAGCCAACTGGGACACGCTGATGGGTCGACCCACGTTCAAAAGTATAACAGGGTGGGGCCCTACAACGGGGGCACAAGACCCGATAGAGAGATCTGGGGAGTTGTCGAGGGTGGAAGGCACTCAAGCGTTCATTGGTGAGCTGATACTCAATCGACACTAGCCGGAGCGAGTGCGGGTCGCCTCGTCTTATAGCCTAGCAGGTGGGGGATTGTTCTGGGGTGGGTTGTGCCACTCTGTAACCTAGCAGTTGGGGAACTTGGAGGTGTGAGACCTGGTAGAGATTGGGTATCAGGATATAGGGGTTGAGGTAGGTTTAAGGTTGGACTGCTAAAAGGCAACGATGTAGGTTGTTTGTGGTCTTAAAGCTCCTATGAATTAAAGCTTCAGGGTTGTTCTCCTAGCTCTTCTGATTTTCGTCTATGTCATGAGCATAACAACCAGTCCTAACCGAAGTCGGGTAATGGCCCCGGTATGTCAAATTGTTCTGCATATTTTCTCAATATGTTCTCAACTGGGACGTTGGGCCTGGTTTCCAGAACGTCTTGCTCCCCATGAATAGACTAGAGAACTGTCTTCTCTTAGAAGAAATAAAAGAAAATACTTAAAAAAAAATGTTGCGGTGTTATCCCCATATGCGTTGTGCAAAATGAAATCCTATTTTGAAACACTGAGCCCAATTCCCAGCACATGTTGCTCCCCATGCATAGACGAGAGTCTCTCCT